TCTTCTAAAGAAAGGTCGCATATGGTCGAAATGATGGAAACATATAGACCAGATCAGATATTCATAGTCCTTGATATAACTCCAAGGGAAATTACCATTCCAGCATTAGGACTGTAACAACGATTGGGCCATGGATTTGAGTTGTATTAATTTGATCAATAAAAAGCATTCAGATAAAGATCCATCATGTTGAAATAAGTCAATTAAATTTTTATTTTTAAATTGCCCTTCTCCAAAATTCACATGTCAAAAATAGTGTCAGCAAGTTTAACAAAATCAATGTGTATCACACTGTCATAAATCATAATATTTAATTAATGTAACCCAAGGACAGCCTATTTCTTCAAATGGGCAACATATATAAATTGATAATATATATGCAAATATATAGATATATCTCCTCGGCACCCCATATTTGAACCTTTATAAAGAACTCCCAAAGCACATCAGAAGCTAAAATATAATATCGCATCCTCATATCAAGCGAAACAAATGCATCACACAGTATTATAAACAATTACAAGCACAAAAACATGAAAAGAAACAACACAAACAACAACCAAACATACACCAAAAAAGGAAGTCATGATCACAACCTTCTTCAGTAATAAACTTTGACAGAAGTTGGACTGGAGACATCTTGCATTTTGTGACAAGGTATTGAAGATGCTTCTTGAAAACATGCTTTGGCTGATTCGCAAAAAAGACAAATAGATCCTGAAGTGTGTATACCCACTGCGCATTATTATCCTGCACAAAGTACAAGTTCAGGTTCATCAATGATAATAAAAAGAGGAAATAACTACTACTTATTAGATAATAAAGAAGTGGGACACAAACAAAGGGGAAAAAATTAGCTATAAAGTAAGACGAGGCGTGCCACCAACCAAAGAGACATCCTCGGGTGTTGTTGTAATAAACGCCTCCAGTAACATCCAAAATGTGTAAATTAGAATCTTAGCATTTGCTCCTTTGAAATTGGTGTCGAACAGATGACCAATGAATCCTTTGAATTCTACTTCAAGCATTCTTGTGTGGGACTGAAAATCATATATCAACATAATATTGCATACCAAAAAAAGTCAGGAAAAGTATCAATGACACAAGAAAGCTAGTGCAGAAAAACAGCATACCTCCTCCGCAGATACAACATTCTCCACTGACTTTAACAATTCCCACTCAGCTCTGAGAACGGGAAAGCAAGTTTCATACAATGCCGAAAACCGGTCATAGTCTGGCAAATAAAAGAGCAAGAAGAAATGAAACCCATGAAGAGGCAGTCAAAGTGAATAACACGTTAAAAGGCCCAGCATACTATTAAGCACTGAAAAAACAAGGCAAAGGACCATTGATTGCTCAAGGTACAAACTTTCCCCGGAGTAGTTACAGCATTCTGACATATAAATCCTTCAAATAGTAAAGAAAGAACAAGAAACCTTTTCACCATACATATCACCTAGTCAACATTTGTTGGGACATCATCACCTAGTCAACCTAAAAAACAACTGCAGTCATGTAACATTGACATTTGTCTACATCAGCATCTCTTTATGGACACTGCCCTTGCACCAAGGAGTATATTTTTTTTCAGGAAACTGCAGTACATGCATCGACTTTCTCAGTACTAAAAAAGATGTTGCACGAACATCTTTGGTCAGTGTTTGACAACTTTTGACAAGGAGCAAAAGTATTGACTTCACTGCACACCACAAAAGATGCCACTGCAAAAGATGTCATGCAAGTTGTTTCCAGACATTTATGCATTTCAACTGCCTTTAGCAGTTGACAAGCAGATTCTGGCAGACACAAGGTTGTGGACATACCACACAATCCAGATAGACAATCCATATAGACGCAAAGCAGTCACTCACATGTGAATCACACTTAGTCTTGCAAGAAGCCCCTAGGACACAATGAAGGTAATTCGCTGTCCATCTTACACAATTTCACAAACCATCTTGAGCTTGCCTCAATTAGACCTACTTCGGTAATAGCTCCAATATATAGACAAAACTCAATTGACCAGGTAAGCTCTTAAAACTAAGGTCAAGGAAAGAATGTGCTATAAAAGATCAACAGGGTATGTATTGCGACAAACATGATCAAAGACCAAGCTGTACCATCTCCAAACAAAGTAGAATGAAAATAGTACAGAACAGAACTTTTATATCTAACGCAGGCAAAAATATAAAGATGGCACCTTCACAATCCAATCCTTGCTCCACCCTCAAGCACTAGTAAATTGCACATTATTTAAGGTCATTTGGAGATCAGTAAAAGTCACTACTTAAAAAGGTCCACAATCCCACAAACAGGTCCACAGAGTGACCTTAAATATAAAGCAAGAGAAGAAAACAAAAAGTAAAACTTTTTTTTGTTTTCTTCTCTTGCTTTATATTTAAGGTCACTCTGTGGACCTGTTTGTGGGATTGTGGACCCTTTTTAAGTAGTGACTTTTACTGATCTCCAAATGACCTTAAATAATGTGCAATTTACTAGTGCTTGAGGGTGGAGCAAGGATTGGATTGTGAAGGTGCCATCTTTATATTTTTGCCTGCGTTAGATATAAAAGTTCTGTTCTGTACTATTTTCATTCTACTTTGTTTGGAGATGGTACAGCTTGGTCTTTGATCATGTTTGTCGCAATACATACCCTGTTGATCTTTTATAGCACATTCTTTCCTTGACCTTAGTTTTAAGAGCTTACCTGGTCAATTGAGTTTTGTCTATATATTGGAGCTATTACCGAAGTAGGTCTAATTGAGGCAAGCTCAAGATGGTTTGTGAAATTGTGTAAGATGGACAGCGAATTACCTTCATTGTGTCCTAGGGGCTTCTTGCAAGACTAAGTGTGATTCACATGTGAGTGACTGCTTTGCGTCTATATGGATTGTCTATCTGGATTGTGTGGTATGTCCACAACCTTGTGTCTGCCAGAATCTGCTTGTCAACTGCTAAAGGCAGTTGAAATGCATAAATGTCTGGAAACAACTTGCATGACATCTTTTGCAGTGGCATCTTTTGTGGTGTGCAGTGAAGTCAATACTTTTGCTCCTTGTCAAAAGTTGTCAAACACTGACCAAAGATGTTCGTGCAACATCTTTTTTAGTACTGAGAAAGTCGATGCATGTACTGCAGTTTCCTGAAAAAAAATACTCCTTGGTGCAAGGGCAGTGTCCATAAAGAGATGCTGATGTAGACAAATGTCAATGTTACATGACTGCAGTTGTTTTTTAGGTTGACTAGGTGATGATGTCCCAACAAATGTTGACTAGGTGATATGTATGGTGAAAAGGTTTCTTGTTCTTTCTTTACTATTTGAAGGATTTATATGTCAGAATGCTGTAACTACTCCGGGGAAAGTTTGTACCTTGAGCAATCAATGGTCCTTTGCCTTTGTTTTTTCAGTGCTTAATAGTATGCTGGGCCTTTTAACGTGTTATTCACTTTGACTGCCTCTTCATGGGTTTCATTTCTTCTTGCTCTTTTATTTGCCAGACTATGACCGGTTTTCGGCATTGTATGAAACTTGCTTTCCCGTTCTCAGAGCTGAGTGGGAATTGTTAAAGTCAGTGGAGAATGTTGTATCTGCGGAGGAGGTATGCTGTTTTTCTGCACTAGCTTTCTTGTGTCATTGATACTTTTCCTGACTTTTTTTGGTATGCAATATTATGTTGATATATGATTTTCAGTCCCACACAAGAATGCTTGAAGTAGAATTCAAAGGATTCATTGGTCATCTGTTCGACACCAATTTCAAAGGAGCAAATGCTAAGATTCTAATTTACACATTTTGGATGTTACTGGAGGCGTTTATTACAACAACACCCGAGGATGTCTCTTTGGTTGGTGGCACGCCTCGTCTTACTTTATAGCTAATTTTTTCCCCTTTGTTTGTGTCCCACTTCTTTATTATCTAATAAGTAGTAGTTATTTCCTCTTTTTATTATCATTGATGAACCTGAACTTGTACTTTGTGCAGGATAATAATGCGCAGTGGGTATACACACTTCAGGATCTATTTGTCTTTTTTGCGAATCAGCCAAAGCATGTTTTCAAGAAGCATCTTCAATACCTTGTCACAAAATGCAAGATGTCTCCAGTCCAACTTCTGTCAAAGTTTATTACTGAAGAAGGTTGTGATCATGACTTCCTTTTTTGTGTATGTTTGGTTGTTGTTTGTGTTGTTTCTTTTCATGTTTTTGTGCTTGTAATTGTTTATAATACTGTGTGATGCATTTGTTTCGCTTGATATGAGGATGCGATATTATATTTTAGCTTCTGATGTGCTTTGGGAGTTCTTTATAAAGGTTCAAATATGGGGTGCCGAGGAGATATATCTATATATTTGCATATATATTATCAATTTATATATGTTGCCCATTTGAAGAAATAGGCTGTCCTTGGTTACATTAATTAAATATTATGATTTATGACAGTGTGATACACATTGATTTTGTTAAACTTGCTGACACTATTTTTGACATGTGAATTTTGGAGAAGGGCAATTTAAAAATAAAAATTTAATTGACTTATTTCAACATGATGGATCTTTATCTGAATGCTTTTTATTGATCAAATTAATACAACTCAAATCCATGGCCCAATCGTTGTTACAGTCCTAATGCTGGAATGGTAATTTCCCTTGGAGTTATATCAAGGACTATGAATATCTGATCTGGTCTATATGTTTCCATCATTTCGACCATATGCGACCTTTCTTTAGAA